TGTGACTGTGATGTGACTTTGAAGTATGAATCTATTCCAGTTCTGGTACAAAGGATCACATTTTTTTATTAAAAAGAAAAACATAAAAAAGTAATGCAAAACAACAAAACAGCTGAAATTCAAGGTTATGAATATCTACATGCAAAACATCATATGTATTTTGGAAGTCTCTAATTATAGAACAGCATAAAACAAAACATGATTGCTGGAGCCAATGTGCTAGTGCTAGTAAAGAATGTGATTAATATGTATTATCTTAGTTTGTAAATATTTTTGTAGATTTTCCATGCAGAATATGTTTCTTTGTTATTATTAGCTTAATGCATTTTGTTCTTGTGAGTGGTTATTTATCATTATGTGATTTAGCAAAATATAATTTCATTACCAATGGCAAAATAATGCAGATTGACACACGTTTAACGCCTGTTAATATACCAATCCTTCATAGTTAGATTGTCACTAATTTGTGTATGTATTTTATGGTAAGGGGATAATTTTTTTTCAGGTTGTTTATAAATATATGCACATAATATTTAGTTTTAACTTTTAAATATAATATATCTGGTTCAATTAGTAATCTAACTACTTGAACTGATTGATTGACTGTAAAACTAACAACTTTTTCTGACATTTTTCTGGTTTGGGTTTTAAAATACTTTCAGAAGACTATAGCAAAAATTAAGAGGAAATTTTTGGTGTATGTTCTTTGGTTTGGGTTTAAAGAGGAAATATCATGTCTATGTTCTTGGATATGCTTGAATGCAGTTGTAAGAGAACTTGCTTTGAATTTAACTGTTATGCACAGGGATAATGCCCTTTAATTATTGACTTTTTATTTGTAGAAGAGCATATGAAAACACTGCCTTCTATTATTTCTTAGTGCTAAATATAAAAGTTATGTTAAATATATTATCTTTATCTTATCTTTATCTTTTATCTTTTGTTAGTTTGTTATTATTCTTTATTTGTATTTTGGATTTAACCTATATTTCTTCTATTATAAATAGAGTACCCTATGTATATATTTAACACAAGGGAGATTAATCTCATCTATAGTTTTCACTATATTCAACATGGTATCTAGAGCCTAAGGTTCTTTTGAGAAATTTTTTTTGTCACCTCTACCACTACATCCGCCGTCTATCGCCGTTGTCGGTGACGCGGTCGTCTATTGCTGGAGGCCACTGTCTACTGCTGCTGTCGCCGGAGTTCCAGTTTCGACTGGTGACCACATGGTTTTGATCGTCTCAGCCGCCCTAAGAAATTTGTCTTTCAACACATGTGTTTGAGTACCTCAGTCCTGCACTCCTGATTTTAGTTCTCTATAGTGTTTTTTTCACTATCGTCCACTGTTTGTGCCTCTGTCCACCACCGTTCCTCGTGATGGAGAGTCTGTGTCTAGGTCCTTTGATGAACAAAGGAGACCATTCTTTTGAAGAGTCAGATCTTCCACCTTCACTGTCACGCGCCGTCATTTCCATCGTTCGCTGTGAGGGGGAGTCTGTTTCTATGTGGTCCAATCTAGTCCCTTCAATCTATCACTGTCAGTCACTGCAGGCCACCATCCATTACTGATGACAATCTAGTCCTTGCAGTTTGTCGTTGTCCACCACTGTTAGCCATCGTCTACTACTGATGGTAATCTTCTTTGTCAAAGTTATCAAAGTTTCGCGGTAGTCCACCGTTGTTCAATATTATTCTCCACAACTGTTGTTAGTTGTTTGTCGACCTCTGTTCGCACTCTTTATTAACTGGATGTCAATAATGCATTACTCGATGGTGATTTGCAAGAAGAGATTTATATGGAAAAACCTCCCATATTTGTTGCTCAAGGGGAGTCTTCTGGGTTGGTATTTTGTCTTCTATGTCGTCTTTGAAAATCATTAACAATTTGGTGTCAAGTGCAAAAGAAGATATTTTCACTAAGTCTTTATTGATTATATTAGTAACAAACATGGAACATATGATTTGTATGCACTAGATTGAAGGGGAATGTTAGATATATTATCTTTATCTTATCTTTATTTATCTTTTATCTTTAGTTAGTTTGTTATTATTCCTTATTTGTATTTTGGGCTTAGTCTATATTTCTTTTATTGTAAATAGAGTACCCTATGTGTATATTCAACACAAGGGAGATTAATTTCATATATAGTTTTCACTATATTCAATAAGGTATAACCTCTTTAGCATTGAAGTTCTTTTTGTCATAGTTGTATTGAATGTTGTAGAATGAAGTTCTTCCACTCTCTCTCTGAACTCTGGTCGGGATTGGAGAGGTATTAAAACTTAGTTTTTGTGTTACAAGTTTGTACTTTTATTGAGTTGTAACATGGTGAAGTCTCATACAATTTTTGCACTTCTGGTTGCTTGCATAAAGTAGAAGTGGGTTACTGAAATGTAAAACATGTTTCAGCTTGTTTATGTTTTGTCTAATTCCCTGTTTAAGGTAGATAACATAATATCACTATTACACATATTTTGGGTAAAATTGAGGCAGCAGGAATTTCACTTTTCTTTATGTATCTTCTAATAAATTCTTAATACACAAAAAGTTATGAGGTTGGTGTAGATGTAATTTTAGAGGAACGGAGTGGAAGATTGTTCCAAACTATGTCAGGCATAGCGTAGATGGGTATTTAAAATTTAGATTAAGGTTTCTTTTCTATAACAATATGCTATGGAATGGCTTGTAGCATGGAGAATATTCAATTAGACAATGAGATTGCTTTTCCCAGTTCAAATTCATTTTGGTGTGCTTTCTTCCTCCTCCCCCGTAGTTTATATATTTTTGTCATATGCATGCTGGTGCTTATGCCTTTCGATGCAGTTTCTTTTATGTGACTATTGATGCAGTTTCTTTTATGTGACTATTGATGTCTTGTTATGTTTGTGGTTTATACATATGAAATTTATCCTCTGAATTGGATCCCAGATGAATTAGTTTCCTTAATCTCTTCCTCTTCTGTTTCAGTTCACTCGTATGGCCATTGTGTGACTTCCTTAACATGTAATGCCATTGATCTTGACACTAAATTAATCATGTCACAATTCATGTTCTAAGTTGAAGTTGCTCAATATCTTCATACAGGCACTCCTTCTAGTGTGTGATTGGGAGCTCGCTGAAGCTCGAAAAAAAGATGCAATTGATCGAGCTAGGGTACGTGGTGAAGAACCTCCCCCTGAGCTGCTTGCAGAAGAAAGGGGTCTGCATTACAGTGTTGAGCCAGATGTGAAGAGGCTTTTGCAGGGAAAGACACATGCAGAATTAGAAGCTTTACAGGTGCATATAGCATCAGAGATGCGTACTGGTACGGCAAAGGTGGTTGAGTACTGGGAGGCAGTTTTAAAATACCTCCACATATATAAGGCCAAGGTAACTCACTTACTTTTAAGAGCATGCTTTAAAATAATGGATAAATTCACTTCATTATTAATTGTGCTATATGCAGGCTTCTTTAAAAGAAATCCATACTAAAATGTTACACAAACATTTGCAACACCTTGAACAACCATCGGAGGATGAAGATAAACTGGAAGATGCTCCAGTTAGAAACTCTGACGAAGACAATGAACATTACAGAAAATGTATATTAGCAGTGGATTTTTGTCATTGTTAGTTTATATGCATTCTCCACCCAAATTATGTGTTGATATTTGCTCGATGTTTATTGTGTAGCCCAATCTGCAGATGAATCATTTTCACCCGAACCTTTTAAAGTAGAAGAAGATCAAGAAGCTGAGGATCAGGCTGGCTCATTTTCACCGGAACTGTTTCATGGTGATGAAGATGAGGAAGCTATTGACCCTGAAGAGGACAGAGCTCTATTGGTAATCTTTAAACATGGTTTTCAACAATGATATTTCTCGTTTGAGTGTCAAGTGTGTAGTCTAACTCATCGTACGTTCACAGGAGTGGAAGCGTATGGCTGTAAAGGAAGAGCAGCATAAACGAATTCAAGAAGCAATGGCATTAAAGCCTGCTCCATCTGAAGATAATTTTGAGACGAAAGCCATGAAAGCTATGGGAGCTATGGAAGACGGGGATGCATTGTTTGGATCTGGTGCTGAAGTGAATCTAGATTCACAGGTAACCTGTCTTGGTTATTATGTAATTTCATTCTGTCAAATGTCTTTAAATGATTGTCGTTATCTATGATTCTTCGAAATTTACATGTTTGATAGATTGTAAAATATTTAGTTCATTATAGAAAGTTCTGGATTTTTATACTACTATATTCAAGGACGTGGGATTATCAACATCTAAAGTTTGATGTAATTGGTAATGTTGGAGCAGGTTTATTGGTGGCATGACAAATACAGGCCTAGGAAGCCGAAGTATTTCAACCGTGTTCACACTGGATACGAGTGGAACAAATATAATCAGACTCATTACGATCATGACAATCCACCGCCAAAGGTTGTACAAGGGTATAAATTTAACATTTTCTACCCGGATCTAGTAGACAAGACAAAAGCTCCAACTTACACTATTGAGAAGGATGGTAGCAATGGTGAAACTTGCATCATAAGATTTCATGCAGGGCCACCATATGAAGACATTGTAAGTCTACTTCTTGATGCTCTGAAGGTTTATTATATACACTCTCAAACAAATTACCCATTTTATTTGTCTTCCATGACAGGCTTTTCGCATTGTTAATAAAGAATGGGAATATTCTCATAAGAAAGGTTTTAAGTGCACTTTTGAACGTGGAATTCTACATGTGTACTTCAATTTCAAACGCTACCGCTACCGCAGATAATTTCAGGCTCTGGCTTACCTTCTACATGGGTTGGTTACCATTTTGAAATTTAAGGTGCATATCCGTGAATGTTAAGGTGCTGGCCTATAGTTTCTTTTATGTATATGGAGGAATTGTACAACCAACATTGAACAAAACCCGATCATTGTCTTTTGATGATACATTTGACTTGAAAGTTGAATGTTGAAAGAATTAGGAAACAATTGAAGGGGCGGAAGGACACAAGAGAAAAAGTGAAAACAGATGCGGTTATTTTCTTCACTGCTTTATTTTCGTTTTGATAATCACATCTGATGAACTTTACAACTCCGTGCGAACAGAAATCTGAATTGAAACAATAGTAGCTCCAGAAAAGATTGTTCATTGAGATATTGGGAAAAGTAAAGGCCGGTGAGTGGGTGGGCATATTTTTCTTCTCTTAAAATGTCGACTAAGCACTCTGAAATCATTGTATTAACCTTCAACTATCTTTACAGGAGTCCTGCAGAACAAAAAATAATTTAAATTAACTACAGGAGACTAAAATATAAAAAAAAAAAATCTGACATCGTTACTTACCCGAATGGACTTTGTTTGATAGAAAGCAGTTCAATGTCCAACTGCATTCCGAAAGTATCAAACGGTAAAATTGTAAATTTAAAAAAGAAAAATCACTTTGACAGGAAAACAGTCGAATAAAGGACTTCAGCAGTAGACTCGGCCTAAATGATGATGACATGGAAAAATAGCAAATCATATCAAAATGACCAAATTATCCAACTTGTTAACATTGTTTTACCCCCTTTGATTATAGAACCTGATATCTAGTGTAGGAAGGGGTAGGCTACAGTGGAGGGAAAATGGTTTTGGTTGGGTGAAAGTGGTCATATCCAACTTTTCAAACATATGTTTGAACTTTGAAATAAAGCAATCATTGAATGCCCATGAATTTCCGTTTGACAGCACAAAGAGGTTGTTCATTACAACTTGTGTTTTACAATTAAATTTTGAATAAACTGATTTGGTAACAGAAGGTTCCGGTCAAATCAAATAAACCATAAGAACACTATTCACGAATTATAATTGGTTGGAATCGGTCTTACAATATGTATGAGAGCAAAGAAACGGAGCTAAAATCAGCATTCAACGTAATGGAACAAAATATTAACAAAGAGATCAGAAGAACTCACCTCAATCGTTGAATTAGGAGGGATTTCTTGCACTCCCTTGCTTCCATAGGCAAGTTCAGGAGGAACAATCAATAGTCGCTGCAAAAAACCATCTAAATTACACATTCTTGAGGCATATGATTCAACCCAGAAAGTCAAAACAATTTGCAACCCTTTCATGCAAAACTATTGCACGCATGCTGATGACAGCTTATGAGGTTAACGAATTTAGTGAGATCATCCAACGAAAATATGTAGTTTAGATACTTTTATGCATAAAATCTTTGAATACTTATGTCACAATAGAATATGCAAAGCTGAAGCAAAATAAAACAAAATCTGTAGTAGCATGAATTCCAATCCAATGTACTTGTTCAGTAATGCCCTTAGGGTTCAATGAACTATGAAACTTCCCATCAAATGGATTAAAAGGAATTTAGAGTTTGCAGACTTAAGTTTATTGATTATCAATATTTAAATTTGCATTGTCAATAAAACAGAAAAGTGCTCCAACAATTTGTTCTCACCTGGCCTCCTACTCGCATGCCCTCTACGCCTAAATCCAACCCTTTAAGGACTGTTCCTCTCTCTGATTGCCCTACATCAAATCCATAGGGCTGCAATGATTCAAGCATGTTTTCGTCAGCCTATTAGCAACTTTTCAGAAAAAATATGCATCATATATAGTAATGCATTTGATCATCCAGACCAATCAAGTAGAGGATAAATAGTTTTTGAAACTGTGAATCTCTATAGAAATAATAGAAATGATTGGGTTCATTTTCTCACGCCATTGCATTTGATTTGCTACACCAATCGACCTTAACAACACAATATAGAAAGGGATGAGAAATTTGGCATAGTTACTTGGATCATACCGTTCCTCCTCCAACACCCATTCCTTGTCTACTAGTCATAAAGGTGATACCCTTCCATTTGGCCACATAGTGAATCTACAATACCATAATCTCATTATTTCTGAATTCTTAGCAATACTTAATCAAATAAAAATCTTTTGGTAAGATCATATATATGAATGCACATGGCAGCACATCAGAGTTACACAGAAAATATAATAGTCCACTCCAACCCAAAATCTTAAGATAACAAGTTTATTGCTCATTTTTAGTATATATTGCTCAACATTCTCATTTTTATTAGATATGGAACGTAGATTCAGCATTCGATTTCTAATTATTCACAGCACATTCAGCTAATGGCTTTCAACCACATGCAGAAGCAATAATGAGTGAAACATTTTTAACTGGATCACAACCGTACTGCAACACGAGATCCCTTTTTAGCTTCGGCTCCATTCCCGACCTTCAAATCATAGTACCTGAAGATATAAAAGTTTCATACCAACACATCTTTAAAATGCAATCAACAAAAAGAAAAATCAGTGCAAATTACGAAATTTTAAAGATTACCAATGTAAGTTTAGCCAATCAAATAAAAGTGACAGATTCTGTTTCTCTATGATAAAGAAAACATCAATAAATGTTCTAGAAGGTGGAATTCTTATTGTGATGATATCCATTAGAAGAATTTCAACACGCTTTAGTCATCAGAGTCTGATACTAAATGAGAAAGAAGGTAGAGAAAGATTCACAATCAACATGTTAGCATAAACTCACTTCAAGCCATTGGGTAAGGTTGTATAATCACTTTCAGGAATTTTTGCTCCTCTTAGCTGCAGAAAACAGAAGAGTGGAAAATTCCACACTTATCAGAACCACGATTTTTCTTTCAAATAAACTAACAAAGTAGAATAATGGGGCCACATACAGCTCTTCTACTTGTGCTAACAGCTCCAGCCACATCACATGCATAGACTCCACAAACTAGCATAAGATAAAAATATTTAAGAAATTCACATGGAATGGAACATAGAAAACATAGAAAACATAGAAAACATAGAAAGGGAACATTCCAAGATAGTTAACTAAAAACTAACAAGTTGTGAGGAGACAACTGAGTAATGCTCTCCTTCCTTCAATACTCAAAGAAGACACTGTAACTGGTTCTGCTGTAGTGTTTTTTGTGGAAGAACATGAACAGTGGCATGATAACCTGTATGAATTTTTCTTGTTAAGTGTTGTGTGTGTTCCTGTGGAGTTAAGGAAATTTCTCAGGCTAGTTTGAATTGAAAGAAGTGTATATGGAGAAGCAGAGAAGAGAGAAGTTACTTGTTAAGCTAATGGGGCAATTGAGGAACATCATAGGATGGTGCTGATGGTGGAACAGAGAGAGTTCCATGGTGTTTGATTCTTGCTTGTTACAGTGTGATCAGAATCTTTTCCTTTTTGTATAGTTAGAGAAGAAAGAGAGAGAGAGAGGATAACGTGGTTAATTCCATCCACAATTTCGAAGCATTGAAAAATCACTGGTTTCAGAAATATAGAATATTAGATTCTTGATATAATTCATAGATATTGATGAGTCACCTACAAATCTTTCCAAAATCTAAACAAATTCTGTCTCTGAAAATTTCGTGTAAGAACAAGGAAAACAGAAAATGATTTCTGTAGATTTTTTTGTTTATTTAACATTTTTTTTTCCTTTTTTGTATGTGAAGTAAATTAATTTAACTTTTATTTTATATCTGTCTACTCATCCCAGTATCTTGAAAATAGTGAGATATTAATCATAAACTGAAATGAGCTAATTTAATAATAATATTTAAATAAACCACTCGCATTAGCTTTATTTTTAATAACTCGACTTTTCTCTTTTTGAGTAATGTGAACCATGTAAGATAAAAAATGTTATTTATTTTTTTATTAAATCAATAACAATCTCCATAATAATATGTCTATTAACTAGAGTGATTTTTTGGTGATTTATTTTTCAACAAAAAGATATTCTCCTTTGTTTTTAATGAAAATAACTCTTATTTTTAAGTCTAATCATTATTTTATTTTTTATTAATAATTATTTATTTATTGTTCATTTAATTAACAAGTCATAAATTTATATTTTTCATGAGACATAAAACTTTATAAAGTGCGCAATAAATAAGCTTAAGAACAATGTAAGAACATGTGAAACAAATACAGTCAATCATACTAACAAATCATTTATATTATAATAGAATAATTACTAATTATATTTATTTTATACTCACAGCTATCATGAGAATTAAACTTAAACCATGGAAGGAGAAGCAAGGTGCAAAGATCAATGGAGGACAACTTCTATAACTATTATATGCTATAACCTAGAAATAATTTAATCTAAAAATTATCAACCACAATCAATTGATAATTTTATCATTAATTTTTTAAATACATTAGTTATAATAACTCTAAACTCTATATTAAAACTCAATCTTTTTACTTTATCTCCAATATAATATGAACAATATTAAATCCAAAACAAAAACAAATATAATTTATCTTTTATCTTATTTATTCAAATGTAAAAATGGAAGCTTGAGAAATGTTTAGATTAAAAATTTCTCACTTTTCTTTATATTTTCTTTTTTCTTGTATACGGGTTGGAGTATACCAAATGCTCCATTTAATACAATTTTTTGCATTTCTTTTTCCAAAATATATTTTATTTAAACATGTTTTGAAAAATTTGTTACAAAGATATTATATGTATTTTGAAAAAATTATTGTGAATATTCTATAATAAAAAGTCTGTTCCGAAGTATATTTCATACCTTTCAGAAATTTTTTCTTAAAATTTCGAAAAGTTTGCTCTGGAAAATTTTCAATATATATAATCCGAAAATCAGTTTCACAAAAGATAAAATGGTCATTTTTGAAAAGTTGGAAAGATGCACGAAGAAAATGTTGGGGTGTAGAAAGTAAAAGCCTTCAAGCTATCATATCGGATTAGACTTATTTTATATACATCTCCCTTCCCGTAAGCACTTTGACTACCAATTCTACTTTATATTTCTCATTAATATTAATTTGTAAATAATAAATGTTGTACAAGCACATCAAGTGCCATGATCACGTGTTTTTTAAACTCATTAAAAATAATATTTGTATGTAATTAATATCAAACTTAACACTTTTATTGTAATCTTCATCCAATATTCTACCGCATTTAACATGTCTATATTTAAGACTACGGCCGTAATATCATTATTTTTTTCTTAATCTAGTTATTCTCATGACTTATCCTTTAGAATTTCTAATATCAAGAGACATTTTTAATATTAATTTATTCTACAAAATTAACCTCTAATATAAGAATTAACTTCACATATATGAATATGGAACTTAATCTCATATTATTCTCAACCCTTTAGCAGTCATTCTGTAACTTAGAACAGATAGATAGATATTAAAAGAAAACAGCATGCAGAAATGTACAAATTATTAGGAAATGCCATCACCATTTATTTTGCAACAAACGCACAGTCCCTATGCATCTTTATTGTGTAATACATATCCATAGCTATATTGTGGTGATCAAAACTTAGATGCTGTTATGTAAGTTTTTTTAGTGTTAGTTTTTGTGTAAGAATTGGATTTTGGTAAGATGAAACTTCAATCCTTACATAAAAACAACGTAAAAAATACTTTGGAAAGTATCTAAGCTTTGCTCTATTATGATCATGACTTGGTCTAAATATATATTTTAGTTTTTGCTAGGGAAAAGCTGAATGGTATTTTGAGTCATCAAGCACTGGAACAGAACCTTGAATTTGAAGAAACTTGAGGTTTCTTTGATCCACAGGAAACAGAAGATTGTTTGATAATTTCAGGCTTCACTACCTTTTCACTTCCTTCAACCCACCTTTTCAGCCTCTTAAGAAACTTTTTCCTTTTTGAAGAAGCATGATCACTCTCAGCAGAATCATTGTGATGCTCCAAGAGGGAGTAATGCAACTCATGCTCTGAATCATAATGCATAATTCCTAAGCCTCCTTCAAACTCTCCCTCCTCATGCTCTCTGTGTTGCTCGTGATGTTCTTCGTACTGGCTCATCAACTCTTGCCTCAAACAAGTATTCACCCTCCTCAAATGAATCAGCTCTTCTACTTCAGTTGATCTTTCCTTCTTCATCTCCTCCAATTCATTCAGAACCTTTTTGTACTCTTCCTTACTCACATCTCCTGATTCAACCTCCAAATAATATTTCAATGGTTTTCTATGTATCTTTTCCTTGTTCAACTTAGATGCATCTGCTTCTGCTTCTGCTCTTTCAAGCTTCTTCACGACCTCCTTCTTCTCTTCCTCCATCTGCTCCAAAATCCTTCGTAGCTCTCTGATTTCACCCTCTAACTTGTTAATCACGCATACCCTCGTTTGAAAATCCTCATGGTTTCTCAAAAGTTCTTCTTCTTTCTCTTTGATCATCAAAGCCTGCACCTTTATCAAACGAGACTTTCCCTTGGAGTCCCTGAGAAGCTTTTGAACCCTCCTTTGAAGCACCCTATTCTGTGATCTCCAATACTGAAGCTGTTCAACAACACTCATGTAATGGACTACAAAACTCTCCAACTTCATTGTCTCGGTCTCTATGGAAGAAATCTCTTTGCTCAAGAACTCAGCACGATCATTCTCCAACGACAACATGTTTCTGACTTCAACAAGTAGAGACTCTTGTGCCTTCATTTCACAGTACAGCTCAAACTGCAAACGCATGGCCAATTCCCTCATTTGAAGACCTTCAATCTGGTTTCTCAGGCCAGTGATCTCGTGTTCCGAACATGACTTTTTGTCATGGATCATCACCAACCTATTCATAGGAGTAGATGATTCACCATCTTCCACATAAGAAAGGCTGTCAAAACTCTCATGTTTAGCTCTCTGGTGAGAAGTGATTTTTGGAGAATGACATCCATTTTCTGGTGAAGAAAAAACCTTAGAAGACAAGTTTTTCTTTGCCAGTATCCATGCATAGATAAAACCAGCTAAAGATGCAGCCAAGGGAACACCAGCTTTGAGGATGAGTGGCTTGAAATTGTCTGGCTTGAGTGGTGTGAGTCCCATGAAGAAGAAAGGAAGTTGGTTTGAAGAAAATGTGAAATTGATCTTTGTTTTTGAGGAAAGTTGCATATGTTTGATTATAGGAAGGGTGAAGTGTAACTTTTTGACGACTCCAAGAGAGGTTGTACGGCACCATCAATCGCTCTAAGGAATCTGATTCCTTTCCGTGTCAACCTATTGCATTCACAAATAGATATTTGCCATGTCAGGGCTTCTTTTCTTCCACCAGCTTTGTGTGATGTTAATATATTCTCCATCTTTTCAAACTCAGATAAAAAATATTCTAAGAATTACAAACTACTTATGGGAAGGGTTGGCTCATCGATCGGCTTAAATAACTCACCCCAATTCGATTAACTTTTCAGGAAACATAGGTCGATGGATAATTGTTTAAGAATATTTTGTTATTTTGACTTTATTAATTTTTTTATAGTACTATAATTAATTTGTTTATTTGTTTCATTAAAACTATTATAAAAATAGTAATTAAAAATTAAAATACCAACTCATGATAAATAAATTAAATATTTAAATTATTCAAACATTAGTTAATATATTAAAAAATAAATAAGGTATCAATTTATATAATTATAAGTAAATAATTATAACACTTTATGGTACCAAAATAATAAAATGTTATTAGTGATAGATTATAAGTTAACTTATTTTCAATCCAATAAATCCATTTAATTTGAGTTAAGTGATTCGAATTCAACTTAATCCACGTTAAAAATATTCAATTTTATTCAATCAATCTGTGGATTTTTATCGAGCTAGATTAAGATTTATTTTAAAAAAACATTATAAAAATAATAATTAAAATATAAAATGTCATAAATAAATTAAATATTTAAACTATAGTAAGCATATTTAAAAATAAATAAATTATCAATTTATATAATTATAAGTAATAAAATAATTATAATACAAAATTTATAAAAAATAGTAAAATTTTAATAAAATCTTGTTAGTAATATAGGTTACAAGTTAACTTGATTTCAATCTAACTTGTAGTACATCCCATTAGTCTAAAACTACTAAAATTTAAAATGTTATACATATAATAATAGAATTTATACTTGAATACAAACCTACTAAAAACGAGAGATATCTACCTTTGCAGAACCATCTAACAATTCATATGTTTCTCCTTCACCTATTGCTAGAACAACTAGAAAGAATGTTTCTCTAAGCTCACACCATTTAAGTGATCATTGCAAAAGAGAAAAACAATACAAAGATAGACAACATAAAAACAAAGGTAAGCTAGATACAAAACCATACTTCATAATTCTAAAGCATTTCATATAAGAATCATATATCACTAGTGCAGTTAAGAGAAATGACAGCAGTTATTTTCGCTTATAGGCCCTGGTTCCGCAACCGAGGCATATACAGGCGAGGTAGAAAGGAGTAGACTTTTTGTCTCGGTTCAGAACTGAGGCAAAAGGTTTCGGATTCTGCCTCGGTTCACAGACAACCGAGGCAGTAGAGTGTTTTTAATTTTTTTTTTAATTTTTTCAGATCCAAATCGGATATCCATTTTTCCAGAAACCCTAGCCGCGTTTTCTTCCTTCTCCGCGCCTTCACCAAATCATCGCTGAACCTCCAAGCACGCGAGCTCGTCGCGATCTCCTCCATTCACGAAACTAATTGCAACAACCACCGCAAGAACTCATCTTCATCACGCGAAGCCATCGTGCCACCATGGAAATTGCGAGACAGCGCCTTTGAAAGCTTTGTCTTCACAGAAACTCCATTCGTGACCTACAAATAAAAATCACCAAAACTAGAAATCAAGCCCCAAATCGCGAGATCCANTTAATACAATTTTTTGCATTTCTTTTTCCAAAATATATTTTATTTAAACATGTTTTGAAAAATTTGTTACAAAGATATTATATGTATTTTGAAAAAATTATTGTGAATATTCTATAATAAAAAGTCTGTTCCGAAGTATATTTCATACCTTTCAGAAATTTTTTCTTAAAATTTCGAAAAGTTTGCTCTGGAAAATTTTCAATATATGTAATCCGAAAATCAGTTTCACAAAAGATAAAATGGTCATTTTTGAAAAGTTGGAAAGATGCACGAAGAAAATGTTGGGGTGTAGAAAGTAAAAGCCTTCAAGCTATCATATCGGATTAGACTTATTTTATATACATCTCCCTTCCCGTAAGCACTTTGACTACCAATTCTACTTTATATTTCTCATTAATATTAATTTGTAAATAATAAATGTTGTACAAGCACATCAAGTGCCATGATCACGTGTTTTTTAAACTCATTAAAAATAATATTTGTATGTAATTAATATCAAACTTAACACTTTTATTGTAATCTTCATCCAATATTCTACCGCATTTAACATGTCTATATTTAAGACTACGGCCGTAATATCATTATTTTTTTCTTAATCTAGTTATTCTCATGACTTATCCTTTAGAATTTCTAATATCAAGAGACATTTTTAATATTAATTTATTCTACAAAATTAACCTCTAATATAAGAATTAACTTCACATATATGAATATGGAACTTAATCTCATATTATTCTCAACCCTTTAGCAGTCATTCTGTAACTTAGAACAGATAGATAGATATTAAAAGAAAACAGCATGCAGAAATGTACAAATTATTAGGAAATGCCATCACCATTTATTTTGCAACAAACGCACAGTCCCTATGCATCTTTATTGTGTAATACATATCCATAGCTATATTGTGGTGATCAAAACTTAGATGCTGTTATGTAAGTTTTTTTAGTGTTAGTTTTTGTGTAAGAATTGGATTTTGGTAAGATGAAACTTCAATCCTTACATAAAAACAACGTAAAAAATACTTTGGAAAGTATCTAAGCTTTGCTCTATTATGATCATGACTTGGTCTAAATATATATTTTAGTTTTTGCTAGGGAAAAGCTGAATGGTATTTTGAGTCATCAAGCACTGGAACAGAACCTTGAATTTGAAGAAACTTGAGGTTTCTTTGATCCACAGGAAACAGAAGATTGTTTGATAATTTCAGGCTTCACTACCTTTTCACTTCCTTCAACCCACCTTTTCAGCCTCTTAAGAAACTTTTTCCTTTTTGAAGAAGCATGATCACTCTCAGCAGAATCATTGTGATGCTCCAAGAGGGAGTAATGCAACTCATGCTCTGAATCATATTGCATAATTCCTAAGCCTCCTTCAAACTCTCCCTCCTCATGCTCTCTGTGTTGCTCGTGATGTTCTTCGTACTGGCTCATCAACTCTTGCCTCAAACAAGTATTCACCCTCCTCAAATGAATCAGCTCTTCTACTTCAGTTGATCTTTCCTTCTTCATCTCCTCCAATTCATTCAGAACCTTTTTGTACTCTTCCTTACTCACATCTCCTGATTCAACCTCCAAATAATATTTCAATGGTTTTCTATGTATCTTTTCCTTGTTCAACTTAGATGCATCTGCTTCTGCTTCTGCTCTTTCAAGCTTCTTCACGACCTCCTTCTTCTCTTCCTCCATCTGCTCCAAAATCCTTCGTAGCTCTCTGATTTCACCCTCTAACTTGTTAATCACGCATACCCTCGTTTGAAAATCCTCATGGTTTCTCAAAAGTTCTTCTTCTTTCTCTTTGATCATCAAAGCCTGCACCTTTATCAAACGAGACTTTCCCTTGGAGTCCCTGAGAAGCTTTTGAACCCTCCTTTGAAGCACCCTATTCTGTGATCTCCAATACTGAAGCTGTTCAACAACACTCATGTAATGGACTACAAAACTCTCCAACTTCATTGTCTCGGTCTCTATGGAAGAAATCTCTTTGCTCAAGAACTCAGCACGATCATTCTCCAACGACAACATGTTTCTGACTTCAACAAGTAGAGACTCTTGTGCCTTCATTTCACAGTACAGCTCAAACTGCAAACGCATGGCCAATTCCCTCATTTGAAGACCTTCAATCTGGTTTCTCAGGCCAGTGATCTCGTGTTCCGAACATGACTTTTTGTCATGGATCATCACCAACCTATTCATAGGAGTAGATGATTCACCATCTTCCACATAAGAAAGGCTGTCAAAACTCTCATGTTTAGCTCTCTGGTGAGAAGTGATTTTTGGAGAATGACATCCATTTTCTGGTGAAGAAAAAACCTTAGAAGACAAGTTTTTCTTTGCCAGTATCCATGCATAGATAAAACCAGCTAAAGATGCAGCCAAGGGAACACCAGCTTTGAGGATGAGTGGCTTGAAATTGTCTGGCTTGAGTGGTGTGAGTCCCATGAAGAAGAAAGGAAGTTGGTTTGAAGAAAATGTGAAATTGATCTTTGTTTTTGAGGAAAGTTGCATATGTTTGATTATAGGAAGGGTGAAGTGTAACTTTTTGACGACTCCAAGAGAGGTTGTACGGCACCATCAATCGCTCTAAGGAATCTGATTCCTTTCCGTGTCAACCAATTGCATTCACAAATAGATATTTGCCATGTCAGGGCTTCTTTTCTTCCACCAGCTTTGTGTGATGTTAATATATTCTCCATCTTTTCAAACTCAGATAAAAAATATTCTAAGAATTACAAACTACTTATGGGAAGGGTTGGCTCATCGATCGGCTTAAATAACTCACCCCAATTCGATTAACTTTTCAAGAAACATAGGTCGATGGATAATTGTTTAAGAATATTTTGTTATTTTCACTTGATTAATTTTTTTATAGTACTATAATTAATTTGTTTATTTGTTTCATTAAAAACTATTATAAAAATAGTTATTAAAAATTAAAATACCAACTCATGATAAATAAATTAAATATTTAAATTATTCAAACATTAGTAAATATATTAAAAAATAAATAAGGTATCAATTTATATAATTATAAGTAAATAATTATAACACTTTATGGTACGAAATTAATAAAATGTTATTAGTGATAGATTATAAGTTAACTTACTTTCAATCCAATAAATCCATTTAATTTGAGTTAAGTGATTCCAATTCAACTTAATCCACGTTTAAAATATTCAATTTTATTCAATCAAATCTGTTGATTTTTATCGAGCTAGATTAAGATTTATTTTAAAAAAACATTATAAAAATAATAATTAAAATATAAAATGTCATAAATAAATTAAATATTTAAACTATAGTAAGCATATTTAAAAATAAATAAATTATCAATTTATATAATTATAAGTAATAAAATAATTATAATACAAAATTTATAAAAAATAGTAAAATTTTAATAAAATCTTGTTAGTAATATAGGTTACAAGTTAACTTGATTTCAATCTAACTTGTAGTACATCCCATTAGTCTAAAACTACTAAAATTTAAAATGTTATAAATATAATAATAGAATTTATACTTGAATACAAACCTACTAAAAACGAGAGATATCTAACTTTGCAGAACCATCTAACAATTCATATGTTTCTCCTTCACCTATTGCTAGAACAACTAGAAAGAATGTTTCTCTAAGCTCACACCATTTAAGTGATCATTGCAAAAGAGAAAAACAATACAAAGATAGACAACATAAAAACAAAGGTAAGCTAGATACAAAACCATACTTCATAATTCTAAAGCATTTCATATAAGAATCATATATCACTAGTGCAGTTAAGAGAAATGACAGC